CCTCATCTAGAGCCACCCCCAAAAGGGTCCAACTAGGCATGTCAATGAATCAGGTCTTACCCAGATCCAACCTAGACCCACTATATTTGGGTAGGATTTGGATTTAATTTCTCAAATCTAAACTCTATCCAGATCTAGACCTTGTGAGAGAGTCATGGGTCTAGGTAGGGTCTGATTTTCTAGAATTATATCCAAATTCAAACCCATACCAGACCTTATCCAGATCCATATATATTTAATTAAATAATAAATATATATATTAGTAAATTTATAAAATAAACTAATATTTTATGGCTATTGGATCGAATATAATAAGATTGTATGGCATCAGAATCTGCAATCAGTGTTGTTGGTTGGGTGATTATGAGACGCGTGCCAAATTGCTTCTAGATATGGTTGAAACATTAGTGACTACTGATGATTGGATTGAATCAAAGAAAAAATGAATACGTGCTTGTAAATCTTCTTATTCTATTATTTATTTGTCATCGATCCTTAGTCAAATGACTTTTATCTTATTCATTATTTTAGTGCTGGATTGCGAGACATCTATCAATATTGAGGTTTAAATAAGAAAAATAGGTACAAAATTATATTTTTTTAAATAAGATTAAATATTTATATATGTTATGGTTATTTTCATTTTTAAAAACTAAATCTAGTTGTCATTGTAATTGGTACAAACTTTTCAAGAAAAGGAGAAAAGGTAAAGGCAAACAAATGAAATATTGGATATGAATGTAATTGAATCTTTGAAAATATATGGAAGTAGTCAATAATAATTCTTGCTTTGAATTCTTAATATTGCATTCAACTTGTCGAATGTAACTTTTATTATTTGAAAACAAAAATTGGATGGTATTTATATTATTTATGAACTCTATATATTTTATATACATTTTTACTTTAGTATGTTCATAAAATACCCATGGATGCCCATTGGATACCCAGATCCATAAGGGTCTAGATATGGACTTACTTTTTCAAATCCAAAAAGGTTTAGATTTGGATCTGCATCTAACTAAATTAAATGGATCTGGATCCAAAACAGACCCTACCCATTGATATGCCTAGTTCCAATGGTGCTAAACTCCACATTAATTACGACTTAGTGCAAAACACACACACACAGACACAGATATATAATATGTACCTTTCTTTATTTTTTTAGGTGTGTTAATAATTGTTTTAGGCGTGTTAATGAATGTCGTTAGAAAAACCGATAAAATATGTTCCCTTTGTTTCTTTTCTCGACTAGAAACTCTTGTTAAAAAACAAGTAGTACCTACTATCCGATCGAATATGTTAATTAAAATTTGTGACATGACAAATTTTCCATACTTTTTGGAAGAGGTTATGGATACTTTTGCAACTAATTAGATTGGTTTTACGGTGAATGCAGTCGAGAAACTCATCCCTCTCGTCCATGCTGACAAAATTTGCGAGACTGATATCCGTGGAAATTGCACGGTTAGAAGGACTCAAGTCTGCTTAGTTCTATGCTTCAACAAATTCAAAGGTCGTCTGCGGAGATATGAGTGTCGAGAACAAGGAAGGGAAAATGTTTGTGTTTGCTATTATAATTGTTAGTTTAAAGGGTTTCTTGATGTACTCTGCTGACTTATCTATCATCAAGCCAAACTCCACATTTTCTCTTGATTTTCAGTTTTGCTGAATATTCCATCCATAGTTCAATCAAAGCAATTAAATCAAAATACCATTTTTCAGATTTTTGGGCCATTATTACAACATCGATCTGTATTTATTCAAATCTGCAAATAAACTAACAAGCCAAGTCAAGTTATATCCATGTGAGTGATTCAACGACGACGATAATTATGTAGAAGAAAGATCTATTTCATCTTTTTAAAGACCTAATTATTACTAGGGCATATAAATTGACAACGGAAAGCAGTAAAATTGCAAATATTACCTAAATCAAATTGCAAGTATAATTATGTTGCCTGTTTCTCCTTCTCTACTCTCTGACGGCTCTTGCTCTAGGGAGGCAGATGAAAGAAGGGTAAGGATGGTGTTATTTTTCTTTCTAGGGTTTCAATAAAATCTTAAACCTAGCACTACCCACTAGTAGGTGGTTTGGATAAGAGTTTTAGTTTATTAGGAACCTTTATCCCATCCTACAGTTATTCTATTTTTATTTTTTTCTTTTACCTAGTAATTTTATCTTTTTAATTAATTGGAAAAATAAAATAATAAAACCGGTGCCAAAAATCGTGGGTTTTACATTCTACCCCCCTTACAAAAAGTTCCGTCCTCGAAACTTACGTACTTTGATAAAAAAGATATGGGTATCTATTCCGCATATCCTTCTCTAACTCCCACGTTGCCTCTCGTGGTGTATGGTTCGTCCATTGCACCTTCACGTAGGATATGATCCTTCTCTTTAAATCCGTCCAACTCTTGTTTTGGTCTTGAACTACTTTTAGTCTTTCTCGAATAACTTAATTCTCTCCAAGGTTCTTTCCACCAAATCCGAGCCAGTGATCAGTTTCTTATCTACTTCATCCCAATATAAGAGAGATCCATACTTTCGCCCATACAACGCTTCAAACAGTGCCATATCTATTCCGTTAGGATGGCTGTTATGATCCGTGTTGTATATAACGTTAAAATAAGTGCTCCAGTATTTGGATTTTGGAATAATTTGTGTCCAAACTCCCCGTGAGAAAATTGAGCTTTTCCTCCCACTCAGAGTCTTAGACAGTTAGACCTGAACTGGCACTTCCTACTGTGGGGGCCCACTATCACTACCGCCTGGTTTGGACACAAAAGAAGGTTAACGATTCCATTCACGAGTTGACACGTGTGCAGTTAACATATCCCGCAATCTCAATTTTGATAACGTTATCTTCCACTGATTGGTCAACGAGTACACGTGGCCGCCAATGGCTAAGATTCTTAAGGACTTAATTAAGCTGCCAATGCTAATCTATATGCAGGAATTCCCATTGGGCGGGAGAATGCACCCTCTATCTCCTGTATGTAACATGTTGGACTTGGCAAGATTCTCTCTCACTCTTTTTTTTTTTTTTTTTTGATCTCTTGATAAAGGGCAGAAATATTTTAAAATAAAAGGTCAAACTATAAGTCAGAAGAAAAATTCGCAGAAGTGAAAAAAAAAATTATTGCAGAACTAAGAACAAAGTGAGCTATCTTTTCATTAATTTGGCAATCTCAAACGAACGAACATTTTAAAATCAAAATAAAATGGGTGTGACAAAATATATATTACTGTTAGCCAAATGTTAAATTGGAATTAGTTTCCAACAGGAAATGATGCATCTGAAAATTTGTAACCTTTTCTTTTCTTTAGTTTTGTACTAAGATAGTTTGTATCTGCAATCATAATTTTTTTTTCCATTTCTGTTATGTCCCATTATTCCCACATATATTAAAATATTTGCGCCTAGTAGGTGGTTTGGATAAGAGTTTTAGTTTATTAGGAACATTTATCCCATCCTATAGTTATTCTATTTTTATTTTTTTCTTTTACCTAGTAATTTTATCTTTTTAATTAATTGGAAAAATAAAATAATAAAACCGGTGCCAAAAATCGTGGGTTTTACAAAAAGTAACAATTGCTTTATAAAATGGGAAATTTTATAGAAATGCATAGCAACTGTTTTGGCATTTTTCCCAATTTCTAATGCTAACAATAGTCTAAGGTATAACAAAAATTTGAGGATACGATTATATAAACAATAACAATACTTGAAAAATAAATATAAAATAAAAATCATGTGTTTGTTAGAACAATGTATTCAGCACAAAATATCTTGGACAGTGAGAATATCCTTAACCTTGGAGGGAAGTGGGGGTGATGGAGCTGGTGTTATTACAAGACATACAGACAGTAAACCTTATAGATTAGGGCAGTATCCCTCTCCTGTGTAAAAAGATTTCTCACCAAAAAAAAAAAGAAAAGATATGCTTCATCCCTTACATTTTAGGAAACAAAACTTTTTTTCTTTATTTTTAAAATAAAATAAATTAGCCCCTCACATTTTAAAAATGAAGCAAATTAATCCCAGAATGATATCCTGATATAGATTTCAAGGGTAAAATTGAAACATCAATTTAACTTTAATCAAATCTAACTATATATGATATGTATACGATATCAAGTCAATAGAAAAAGGAAAAAGATTAAAATTACAACATAAAAAAACCTTCTCTCTTAAAAAATAAATTTTTTTTTCAAAAAGTGATTTTAAATTAACATCAAAAGAAAAAATTAAAATTACAACATCAAAAACAAACCATTCTCTCTAAAAAAGAAGAAAAATTTAAAAGTTATAACATCAAAGACAAACCCTTCACTCAAAAAGTTTAAACAATTTTTGAATTATAAAATTTTGTAACTCAGGGGTTTTTTTCCTTTTTATGTTGACCAATGTGATTGTCTCAAAAATTTTTAACTTTTTCTAGGTAGTATGTTATAATTTTTAATTTTTTTCCTCTTTACATTGACTTAATGTCTTTTTATAGTGACCTTCCAATTTTATATCTAAAATCTATATTAAATTGTCAATCTAGGATTAATTTGCTTCGTTTTTAAAATGTGAGTAACTAGTTTGCCGCATTTTAAAAGTTAGAGATAAAAAAATATTTGTTGCCAAAAGGTAAGGGATTTATTATCAGTGCTAATATATAGTTAATTGTGTATGTTAAGGTGTCGTGGTTACGTGGCATATTTTATGCCAATGTACTGCAAAGGGATTTTGTTTGTGAGATATTACATTATTGTCACTACAGACACTACAAGCCATATATTTCGCCAATATTAGTGTCAGTTTTCCACTCTGCTCCAAAAAGAGAAAGCAGAGGTAAATGACGGAAAATTGACTTGGTCAGAGAGGTACTATTTTGTTCTTTTTCCTGGTCATGGCCTACCAAGACTTTACTATAGTATGCAAAACCGCGGACCTGTAAAAGTGTCTTGGTCATGACTTCAGTGTGTAGTTAATTTATTAATGAACACTTGCATAATAAGGAAGAGAAGTTAATGTATTTAGTCGCAGAGTAGTCTGTAGTTAAAGTCAAATCCGCGTATCAAAACAATTCCGCCTTCCATTCCACCATGTGAATCGAACTGCTTTGTTTTTGACTGAAATAATTGCTCTTGCACAAGTCAATGAAGAATTAAGGATAAAACTGGAAGAGAAAATGAACCACGAGAATCCAACCTCTCTTCTGAGATCAGTTAAAACAACAGCTTGTTGGAAGTAAAGCTCGCTTCCGGCTTAACCAAGATGGCTGACCCTGTTATCTCTTTTGTAATTGAGAGAACTGGCGATCTTCTGATTCAAAAAATTGTTTTCCTGAAAGATGTTCGACAACAAGTTGAAAGACTCCAAAATGATCTGGTCCGGATGCGGTGTTTCCTGAAAGATGCTGATCAGAGGCAAGATGAAGATGAGAGGATCCGCAACTGGGTTTCTGAAATCAGAGCTGCGGCCTACGATGCGGAGGATGTCATTGAGATCTTCGCCAGCAAAGTTGAGTTCTTCACAAAGGACCAGGGACTCATCACCAAATTGACGTATTATCCCTTGAAAATTGTGAGCCTCTACGAGATAGGCAAAGAGATCGAATCCTTACGGATGAGGCTCAAGGAGATTGCTGATAGCCGCGTAGAGTACGGTATCAAAAATCTTGGAGAGGGGATGACTACACATGGAGAAGAGCTTCAACGGCTCCGACGATCCTCTCCAATTAGTGAGGACAAGGATATTGTGGGCTTCGAGAAGATGGCAAAATCCCTGGTGGCAGAACTCTTGAAAGAGGACAAAAGCCGCCGTGTGGTTTCAATCGTCGGCATGGGAGGTGCTGGTAAGACAACTCTAGCCAAAAAGGTTTATAACTATGCTGATATCAGGGCAAGATTCAATTGCCGTGCTTGGGTCTGCGTCTCTTCAAGCTACGACCACAAAGAGATGCTGAGAACAATCATAAAGCAACTGAATCCGATAACTAAAGAGCTGCTTGAATTGTTGGAAAAGATGCAGGAGCAGGACTTGGAAGAAAGGCTGTATAAAGATCTACAAGACAAATGTTATCTTGTGGTGCTTGATGATGTATGGGAGGTAGCAGCGTGGGATTGTCTTGCCAGGAGGGCCTTTCCTGATGTTGGCACATCAAGTAGAGTGCTACTTACAAGTCGCAAACGGGATGTCGCCCAACACGCTGATGCTTATAGACACCCGTATGAGTTGAAAACTTTGGGGCAGGAAGACAGCTGGCAGTTGTTCCTCAGAAAGGCATTAGGCCATGGAGCTAATGCTGGGTGTCCTCCGGATTTGGAAGAAGTAGGCAGAGAGATTGCAAGGAGATGTGGCGGTCTACCACTGGCCATAACGGTTATAGGTGGCCTGCTACTAGGCAAGAATAAGTCGAATACTGAATGGGAGAACGTTCTCAACAACTTTGGCGCATACCTATCAAGGAGCCAGAGTGAAGCAGGGAAAATTAGTGAAGCAGGGGCAATTCTGGAATTAAGTTATGCAGACCTCCCTGCCAATCTGAAATTTTGCTTTTTGTATTTGGGTTTGTTTCCGGAAGACTCCGTGATTTCTGTGCACAAGTTGATCCATATGTGGGTTGCTGAGGGAATAATGCAGAAAAGAGATGCAAAAAATTTGGAGGAAACTGCAGCATATGAAGATGTGGAGCGACTTTGTAGCAGAAATATGGTCCAGGTGGCGGAAATGACGGTTGATAAGAGGATTAAAAGCTGCAGAGTCCATGATTTACTGCGAGAGCTTGCAATCAGAAAGGCAGAGGATGAAAATTTTTTTCAAATCCATGGCACCAGAGATGATAAAATATCAGCCAAATCCAGGTACCTTGCTGTTCATAGTCTCCCTCTGGATGAAAATTATTTTGGATCTTCGACCCCTCCTCTCCGGTCTCTGCTTTTTTTCAATGTCCGCTATCACAGGAAAAACATTAGTCTTATCTTCAAAAGTTTCAGAAAGCTCAGGATACTAGACCTCGACGATGCTTGGATGTACTCTAATTTGCCAAAAGAAATTGGTGAGGTCAGGCTTCTAAGGTACCTCAATTTAAGAGGCACATACATTACAAGGCTCCCTCGTTCCGTCGGTTGCTTGCGATACCTACAAACTCTTGACATACGGGCAACGAAATACACCAGTTGCAGAGTGAAAGTTTCAAATTTCATTTGGAAGCTTGAAAGTTTACGGCATCTATATGCGGATGAGATGGAATGTGATGTGCCTCTTAAGATTGAAGGATTGAGGAATCTCCAGACTCTGTCAGGCATACGCTTTGAGGACGTTATGCACAATGACATGATAACTCTGACAAGTCTTCAGAAACTGGGGATTGTAGTGAATGACAGGTCAGAAATATACAAACTCTGCATGCATTTATCTGAGGTTGGAAGCCTAAAGACGTTACGTCTTTGTCGGTATTCGGGAACGCCAGAATCTCAAGGTGGACTTTCTAAGCTCCGTCATGTAACAGAGCTTAAGCTATCCAATTGGACAATGCTGCCTCCTGATTTCCCTCCAAATCTCTCTCGCTTGTCTTTGAAAAACATATTTCTCGAGGATGACCCAATGCCAGTACTGGAGAAGTTGGGACAGCTATCGTTCCTCAAAATCAAAGTTGCATTTGTGGGACCACAGCATATGGTCATTTCTAGGCATGGGTTTCACCAATTGAAATTCCTTGAGCTCAACCACCTAGTTGTTTTGTATGAAATAAAGGTGGAGGAAGGTGCACTGCCACAGCTCCAGTGCCTGAGAATCAGGGATTGCGACAGATTATGGGAGTTGCCGGAAGAGCTGAAGCACATATCTACTCTTGATACGCTTGAGCTTGTGGACATGCCAGAAGATTTCATCAGTGGGCTTGATGCGGACCTGGTATCCAGTGTCCCTAACCTCAGAATATTTGACTCGCCGAAGGAAAGAATGTAATAATTATTTCAATTTTCAAGTTTTTGTATTTCGCGCATAGAATGGAAGGTATGTCGTGTAGTGATTAATGAAATTATTTCAAGTTTTTATCAAAATACATAAATAAAAAGAATGTTTCCGTATTTGTTTTCCCCAATTCACAAGCTTTTTAAGTCCTTTGTTTTTTTTTTTTTAATTATTTGAAATCTCACACTACATCTTATAGGATTTGTCTTTCTATAAATTTACATATTAATACAAGTAGTAATTAAAAAAAAAAGAAAAGAAAATCCTGATAGTAAACTCTTGGGACTTGTAAATGTCGAAATCAATAAAAATATGTAGAGTTGTTTGGTTGATTCTAATTTTTCCAATGCTGTCCAAACCGAAAAAGAGAATAAGGAAATAAAAGGCCCTATTCGTGCACTGGAAGAGAAAAAAGAATGAAGTTGGCAAACAAATCGCATATAAAGTGTTGGTCCGTCTGAAAGTGAGGATTGATCGCTTCCTAAATACTACTCGCTGTACAAATAAGATATTAAAAATAAAAAAAAAACCAAATTGGTCAATTTTGAGTTTGTAAATGGATACCTTACTAAACTTGGTCTTGAACCATGATTTGACCAAAAAAAAAAAAATTATTTACTCGCATCACAAATGGATACCTTGAGATTTTTGGATGTTCAAGTTACAAGACATGATTTTTACCATAGAATAATTTTTTAAATCTTTAGGATAAAATAAAGTGGCATATTAATATTTTTTCTGTCCAACATCTTGACCTCGTGGCATATACAATAATTTCTTTTTCCTCTACTTCTTTAAAAACGAGATAACAACCATTTTTTTTTTTATCCTAAGATTTTGTTTTATGATGAATATTGCAGTTGAGAGATTCATTCCCCTCGTCCATGCTGACAAAATTTGCCGGACTGCATTTGTTCGAATGAAATTGTCTCGTAGAAATAAATAAATAAAAGGGCTATAACCTGTTGCTATCATATACAAAACAGGAGAGAGTAATCTACCTCGACCCTACATTGAGGTTTGGTCTTATACTATTGAGTGATAAAAGACGCACATAATTATGTGTCTTAAGAAAATAGGGAATTTCGCCATTTTCGTCCCTAAACTTTTACATTAAAACCAATTTCGTCCTTTATGATTTTTTTTAGCCAATTTAGTCCTTCGACTATTTTGAATTCTCTAATGTAGGACTTTTGCAGCGGCGACACCATATTTTACATAGTCCGTACAACTGGTGATGGGTATATCTGTCATTTTAAATTAGATTCTTCAATTTAGACGGACCGTTGACCATAGTTCTTCTTCTCCGATAGAAATCTTATCCCATTCACCAAAAATTCGCACAAACTGTGGAAATCTCATCCCAATACTACTAACCGTCGTGGCAATTCTTCAATCAATAGTAGTGTAACAATCTGTAATCAGCATTGCATAACCACAGCAAATAAGGCACTGTCACCATCTTGAAGGAGGGACAACCCAAGGACGGAGGGACCCCAAACCATATGCGGTCGTTAGATTTGATGCGTCGCTGTTTTCATCGGACGAGGAAAGGCCCGGCAAGAATTTCTGGGTCCAATCGTCTATAGTCCCAGCGTTTAGCGGTTCGAAATGTTCCTGAGACAAGACCAAAAAAATCCGGTGTCCAAATTCTCAATTAGTCCTAGTAGCTATAGGCAGGAGGGGGCGCGGCGCCGGTTGTTTCTGGAACTGGAAATTTGGGTTAGATGCAATACAACAAACATATCCATTCCGACAAAATATTCCTAACTCAATCGGGTGGGTCTTGCAAAACTGAAGCCTAGAAAGTTGCCAAAGCCTTGCAGAGTCATCAGATCACCATTGAAACCCCCCCCCAACTCTCTCTCTTCTAACAGGTTAGAGAGAAGGAAGTTAACTTGCACCCACTCCCACATCATTTGTAGTTTACAGTTTGCACTTTGCAGCTGAAGTTGGATGCAGCAGCTGAAGTTGGATGCAGGATAAGATGTCGGGTAGCTGGTAGCCTGGCACCCCAACAAAAAAAATGTATCTAATGTTCAATGAAATTCATCGGAGAAAAAGAACTATGGTCAACGGTCCGTCTAAATTGAAGAATCTAATTTAAAATGACAGATATACCCATCACCAGTTGTACGGACTATGTAAAATATGGTGTCGCCGCCACAAAAGTCCTACATTAGAGAATTCAAAATAGTCGAAGGACTAAATTGGCTAAAAAAAATCATAAAGGACGAAATTGGTTTTAGTGTAAAAGTTTAGGGACGAAAATGGCGAAATTCCCTAAGAAAATATTATACGAAATCTATATTTATCTGTACAAGTATATATGGGGCCATTGTTATGAACTCTGACTTATAATTATATGGCTTCATTTGTTTGCCTTTTATTTCAAAATCTTAGTGTCAAAGCCGAAGTCAAACAGCTATCAAGTGAACTCAAATATACATTTGTGGCACACATGTTTAAAATTTGAATTAGACTCTAAATTTTGCACATATGATATACATCTAAACCTAATGATTCATACATATATACAAAAATACACACACATATATATTGACTATGTATTTATAGGTAAGTATATATGGGTGTTTATATACATGCATATATACATAAAATTTTTCATGTTTCTTAGAGAAATACACGCAATGAATTAAACATTTTGCAACTTTTCCTGTACAGATGTGTGTGTGTGTGTATATATATATATATATATATATTTGTAGAGACTGTATATATTTTTTATTTTGATAAATAAAGATGCAAAATTTTATTAATGCAAAAGGAAATCTGCATTAATAACGGAAATTACAATGATGGAGGATCATATAACCGTAGAGATGATCCAGAAACATTTCTAGCATTACGATATAAATACAAGCAGGAGAATTAAAACGTGTAGGAACTCAATATTTTTCCAATACAGGTACATCATCAAATTGAAGAAACTATATAAGGTACCTAGGTAAGAAAAACTAATAACAATTATTAAGATCAAACTTCAAACATGTATTAATGGTTGTTTCATTAAACTTCCTAGACATATAAAAAAATTATTTTAACACTCCAGCATATTGACTGAAGTCACTAATATCCTTTTATGCCTTTCTAGAAAAAATCATTCTCTATTCATTCTTTCTTAGACAAAACTTCCTCCAACTCTTTCATGGGAGAAAGATTAGATTTTCCTGATCTTTTTCTATGGGAGGAGCCCTCTCTCTAATTTTTTTTTTTTTTCATTTGTATGAATAAAGTTTCTTTTAAGGTTTTCTATAGTAAGAATTTCTTCTTTTCTAGGGTTGTCTAGCGAGAATTTTCTCCTCTCCTTGGGAAGTTCTAGTGAGAGTTTTCGATAGTTTTCTCATTTTCCTTTTATTAGATCCAAGTTTTTTAGGTTTTGATTATCATATCTAGAATTTTTTGGGTTTATTTAGCAAATTTCACTGTAATATCTAAATTTAAAATAGTTAATCAACAGATCTAATGATTGAAAGCATGCACAAATATTCGTAGGGCTGCAATCATCTTATCTAATTTTTAAAAATATTTTTTGGAGATTTCCATTACAACTTTTATTTGTTCTTTAGATCTATAATATTCATTTTTCAAATCTATTCTTTGATATCTCTATATGTTTGATGATATAATTTCTGCCACTAATCCAAATTTTAATGAAATTACAATGTTTATAGTACAATTAACACAAGAATAGATATTGATTTCTAAAATCTTTGTTCTCTATAAGAGCTTCAAAATTTCGACTTTAGTCACCTTGAGAATTTTTATATACACGTACTTAAATTGCATACATTAAGCAGCTTTTAAAGGCTGTGGAGTGTGTCTCCGGATGCAGGGAGAAATAAGAGTTGTATCTGAATCTAAAAGGCAGAAAACAATTATATGCGGTGAGCGTGGATCGAACACGCGACCTTCAGATCTTCAGTCTGACGCTCTCCCAACTGAGCTATCCCCGCTTGCCGTTTCAAGCTTAAATTGCCTATATTAAGCTGCTTTTAAAGGCTGTGGAGTGAGTCTCCGCATGCCGGGAGAAAATAAGAGTTGTACATGAATCTAAAAGGCAGAAAACAATTATGTGCGGTGAGTGTGGATCGAACACGCGACCTTCAGATCTTCAGTCTGACGCTCTCCCAACTGAGCTATCCCCGCTTGCCGTTTGATGCTTATCCTGTTTCGTCCCTTGTTACAATTAGACAGTTGCACGAATGCCAGTTCTTCAGCTTCAGGAACCTGGATTAACGCCTAGTTTGAATCTCCAATTTGCCAAGAAAGTCGATGTTCAACCTGAATATATCATCTCATCAACTATTTTGAATCAAGCAAAACAAGAAATACATTCTTCAAAAAAGTTGACAAACCACATATCTAAGCTAACAAGTCCAGGACAACAGGATACGTACACCAGCAACCAGATATGACATTTTTGCAGAATAAAATGTCGAATTCAGTTTAGTCAGCGAGTTAACTGTAATTTGCAGCAGAATAAATCCATACCTGTAGTGCATTTTCTATCAACCGAAAGTGCTTTTTCCAGCATCCACGAATTAGCATATCCAAAACTTTTCTGGATTTAGAACATCCGAGTAATGCTCTGGCCATTCCCTCTTCTTATGTAGTTGCTAGTAGAATCTCCCTCTCGACCAACTGTAGTACTTCCTTCGACCACCGACTAAACTTTCGCACGACATTTCTAGTTATTCTCTCCTCAAACTTGGTGCTCCTCAGCCATGCCACACCAACGTAGGCATCACACTTGCAAGTCCCTTGAGCAAGAGCAGGATTCTCGAGCTCATATTTTAGTTGCACCTGTTTCATGGAAGAGGGCGGCAGACGAAAACTCAATTCTGTTCTACGTGCTTATCCATTAACAAGAAACATGAAGAAAATAAAAATCCCACTTCTTTTACCTTCGTCCCTGATAACTGGGGAAGGGAGGGTAAAGCAATTTCAATGTACTCACACGGAAGTATTCACCGGATGGAACATCATGAAGGGTCATAATCTCATTAACAATCCAACCGCTATCACTGGAAAACGGCATCTTTTGCTGTGTGCAAGTTACCTCCCCTCCAAAAACTGAGATGCTACGATCAAATTTGTAAGATGTAC